GGGGCGTGGGGGGTCCACCTCAGTCCTACCCAGAGCCTCCTGCCCAGATATGCCTACAGCAGGCTTGTTGCATTTGTTCCTCGCCACTGCTATTTTTGTCAATGCAGACTGTAGAAGCAATTATATTCATTTCTTTGCTTGCTTATTTATTTTTCCTCCATGAGGTTAACTCTCTGTGGTGTAATTCCCACAGGCATTGCTCCCTGGGCAGAGTCTGAGCAGGTTGCAGCGCTGTGGGAGGGTAGCCACAGTGGGCAGCACTCCTGCCAGCCGATCCTGTTCCATTTCCAATGGGGACTAGCATTCCCCACTCACTTGCAGGCCATGGGGAAGCAGGAAGCAGGGAAAGCAAGGTATATTCATGGAAATGGAGGCAGATTTGTCAAAACTAAAAAAGGAAGGACTTGGATCTCTGGAGGGGTTGGGTGACCCCATCAAGAGATTGCTGGAGGTCAGCCTTTCTTCTCCCTGCTCACCCATGTGGACACAAGCACCTGTGTGGTTTGGGGTAGTGATGGAGCTTTCTAGCTGGAAAGCAAGTTCTTGCCATGTTTTGATGTTTCTAGAGAAAGCAGCCATGAGGACTGCCCTGGTCTTCGCCTGCCTGGTGGGGATAGCATGTACCTTTTCGGTGAGTGCCAGGCAGCTGGGGGGACCCTCAAGCCTCGCCAGGGCTTGTGTGGGACATGTGCCAACCCACCATTTTCCCCAGGTCAAGAGCTGGCTGCGGCGAGCCAAGCTGGATGACTCGGAAGAAAACGCGGTAGGATGTCCCCCCACACCGCATGCCCAGCCCCACGCAGTGCTGCCCTTGAGGATGGGGACGTTTCGGTCACTCAAGCCCCCAGCCTGGTGGGATTTACCCCCTTCTTCTCCCAATAGGTGTTCAAGAACAGGCACCGGTATTACCTGTACAGATATGCCTACCTGCATTCCCCGCAGCAACGGTACCAGGTGGGTGCTTCAGAGAGGCTGCTGATGCTTCACTGCCCACCGAATGTGGAGGTACTGAGATGGGTGGATGGTCTGCCACTGGCTTGCAGGGCAAGTGTCATGCTTGTGATGCTAATGAAGATCCTCCAGCCTGGCTACCTGCAGCTTGGTTTTCCCTCTCCTTAGGGCAGTGACTCATCGGAGGAAGAGGGGGACGGCTCAGATGAGGAAGAGGAGGAAGTGGGGGTGAGTACAGCAAACCAGCAGCCTGCAAAACAAATACGGGAATTTGGGGACTTTCTTTGGTTTCGTAGTTTCCTCTCATCATCTTTTGTGGCTGCTGACCGCCCACAGCTCTGGATGTGACTGGATTTGCTACTCTAGGCTTTATTTGATTGTGTTTTGTATGTTTTCTCTTTTTTTCTTCTTTTCTAAAGAGGATGAGTGGGGGATGCACCAAATAACTGAGACAAACTTTCTGGGTTTCCATTTTCAGTGGCTGAGAAAGGACAGTCCAAAGGGCAGAAACAGGGAGCTCACATGCAAGGCGAAAGGTGCTGTTAGGGACTCCTCTTACCTTCCCCTTTCAGGGTGCGTTGCCCCCATAGTGCTGATAAAATTGCTGTGAGAAATACAGTTGTGCTCTGCACGTGTCTGTGTGGAGGGACACAAACTGATGCTGTATTGGGAAATGCACATCTGTACCAGCCCAGCTGGTAATGCTGCTCCTGTCTGCTGGGTCAATATGAGATTGGGCACCACTGCATTTGAAGGAGTTGCTCAGGCCCAAAATTAAAAGCCAGGGATTACAAAGGTCTCCTGCGTCTCACCAGGCTGCAAATGCTCACAAATAACCCATTAGCCTCCAGCACACAGGTGCTTTGAGACAGGGATTCAGCACACTTGGAAACCTATGTGTCAGGTCTGATCACCTCCTCTTTTTTTTTCCTTTTCTTAGTGATTTGAATGCAAATTTCAGGGGTCTTTTTGACAGAAGTGTAAGCCTGGGCATCTGGTCTTAAACTCCGCTTTGGAGGCCTGCGTAGGGCTGGGGTGCAGCATGAGGTAGCCTCTGCACCTCCCTGCAAATTGCCCCTTTCTGCCTGTTGCTCTCCCCTACCACTGGGATCATTAGGGGTAATTTCAAGTAGTGGGAGGAGACTGGCAAAGGGGGAATTTCATTCCTGAGGAAGGAATTAAGTGATATGCATGAATGCAGCTGCATTTGGGGAATGTAGCCTGCTGTTCCAGGCAGCCCCTTTTGTGTCAAGGGCACCAGAGAGGTGGCTGTTCTGGAGGAGGGATGCAGGGGATGGTCAGCAAGAAAAATCACGATGAAAGGCCCCATCATCTTTACAAACCCCTCAGGTATGTAAAGAGCACTATTATATTGGTTACTAGATGGGGGGCATCACTCCTGCAGATTCACTATAGCTGGTTTCACCATGCAATTTGGTGGCTTCCCCGGTGGAGAGGAAAACAGCCTGAGTTTTTTCTGGCTTCAGATACACCCATGTTTTAAGTGTCTGAGTTGGCCCAAAACACCAGGGTGAGTGTCCTTGGTCTTGGCGCATAAGCAGTGGGGATTGCCCTGGTCAAGGATGGCAGTGCCCCTGGGTCTCCCTGCCATGCCTGGGTTCATTTGCTGGTGGCAAGGTGCTCCAAGGGCTGGGGAGAGGGTGAGCTGCCCCACCGCAGTTCTGCAGTGGTTGCTCCAGGCTCTGCTTGAATTTGGGTTATTCGTTGCCTCTTTTAGCAGCATGGAGTGCTGTGCACTGCGCTGAGAGACCTGCTCTGCTGCTTCGTGGTCTCTGGGGCTGAGTGGCACTGATGGCTTGTTGCTGGTGAGGTTGGGGCTCACACCTTGCTGTCATGCTCTCACCATCTAGCTACACCTTGTGTATAGTGTGTCTGCAAGTAGTGTGCCTGGGGCTTTCTTTGTTTGTTGGAAACTGGGAGAGGTAACTTCAAAAGCAAACCTTTAGATGCTTCGTAAAGCAAAATGTGTAGCCAGAATGGGAACACCCAACTCCAGCCACCACCACTTAATTGCATGGCTGGGGCTGCCCTGCTGCAGCTTCTCGGTTTCAGCCTAGGGCGAGACCCGTGGGAAAGAAGGAAACTGGGAGCAGCACCCAACGCCGTGCAGGGATGCTGTGTGACCCCCTCACTGCTGGGGGGGCTGTGCTGCGCTCCCGCTGCTGACCACCTGCCCTGTCCTCTCCCTGTCCTTGCAGAAGGCATCCCATGCTGGCACCAAGGCAGATGGCCACCCCATTGGAGCAGCCCCTGGAGACAGCAAGGGTGGGCTGGGAGGAGACCTCGCATGCCCCCAGCAGGTGTGGTTTGCGGGGCTGGAGGGGAGCTCCCTTGGATGGGGGTTATGTTCAATGCATGTTTGCTTGCACCCATGGGATGCCCTGCACCCTGTTTCTGCTTGAGGGTCTGCTGTGCAAGATACCCACAGCTGGGCCAAGCTCTGGGCACTAACTTGGCAAGAGGGTTGGAAGGGGCACCCCAAAAAGGCAGCCTTACCTTGCAAGGGATGAGGGAGATGCTCAGCTCTGCCTGAACCTGCCCCATGTCACGCAGCACCAAAAAGCTGCAACCTCTCAGCACCCAACTAAAATTGTGCTATTTTCCCCTGCTAGGGCAAGGGCTGCCAAGGGCCCCCAAAGGGGGGCAGGAACGGCACTGTGGGCAGGGGGGTTGACTCTGAAAATGAAGACAGTGATGAGAATGAGGAGGAGGAGGAAGAGGAAGAAATAGCTGAGAATGAGAATGGTGTCAATGGCACAAGCACCAACACCACTGAGGGAGCAGATGGGCCTCACGGCAATGGCACTACAGTGGCTGAGGAGGGCACCGGTGCAGCTGAGGAGGAGGAGGAAGAGGAAGAGGAGGAGGAGGAAGAAGAAGAAGAAGAAGAAGAGGAAGAGGAGGAGGAAACTGAAGCCACCACCATTGCCAGCACCACCAATGAGGAAGGGCTGTCCCAGGCAACCACCACGGGACATGCAGCACCCACGGATGCCACCACAGCTGGGGAGCAGTGGGAGTACGAGGTGACGGTCGGGGGCCATGGCTGGGGGGACGAGGGCACCACCGATGGCAGCTATGGGGAGCAGGACGAGTACGCCCGTGGGGACAGCTACCGGGCCTACGAGAATGAGTACGGCTACTACAAGGGGCACGGCTATGACGTGTATGGCCAGGATTACTACTACAGCCAGTGAGCGGGGGGTGAGGGGCAGGCCCAGTGCTGGTCCCCCTGCCCCATCCCACTCAGGAATGTGCATCCTTATGCTCCCTGCAGCTGCCGCATGCCAGAGGGGATGCCAGGCAGCTTGTGGGGTGCACTGGCTCTGTCCCAGGCTTTTTTGTATCTCACGAAGTGAAATGAAATAAAGCAACAGAACTGAACTTGTTGGTGACAAAAGCTTTGCTGCCAAATTTGCTGGGGTCAGCAGGGCAGCACAGCACTTGGTGGATTTGAGAGGCTGCAGGTGCTCATGCTGCTGAGGGTTAAATCTCCTTATTCCAGCTCAGATGCACACAGGAGGGAGAAGCAGAAAGACCAACTAGGAAATCATCTGTAGAGTCCCCTCCAAAAAATGAAAGGGTATTTTTAGGGTCACTGCTGTGGGATTACTGCCACGTCTTATGTAGAGTTGATGTGAATTTGAAATACGTGGGTAATGATAACTTTACATCTTCCATTCCTTGGCAGCATGCCTCCCATAGCCTGACCACACACCAGGCAATATTAATAAAGGTAATGACGTTAATTTCTCTTCTCGTGCATCACTAGCCGTAATGCACATCTCTGTAATGACAGCTTTGCTCCTGCATCCATGTGTCAGGCATGTGGGTCACAGCAAAGCCGAGCACCTTGGACATGTGTTTTGGACTCAAGATCTGCAGTCCAAAACAGTCCCTGTCTGTCCCCGCCACACAGCCTCATCCCCAGGGCAAGGTAGCGGTGTCACAGTGGCAGTGGTGCATCTACTTGCCTCCTGCATCAGGAATGGGAATGCCTGGCTTGTGGTCCCCAAGATCTCTACCCAGAGTCACCTCCCCATGTGAGCATGGCCCCAGCCAAATGGGGATCAGCACCAGGGATTGGGAAGGACCAAAAGCCCCTCTGGGTTCCAGACAGGTGCCCCCATTTATGAAAAGTGATGGGTTACAGCAGGTACTGCGCTGCCCTCACACTCCTGGAAAAGGAAACCTGTGTTCAGTTCCCCATACAGGCCGAACCATAGATCAAGTTTCTCTTCACTGCTGGCCACTGTACAAAACCACCTCCATGTACCAAAGCTGGCCTGCAGCCGCCAGGGTGGCAGGGGGTGCTGCCTGCAGGGTGAGCACCATGGAGCCAGATCCCTGTGGTGGCACTGGGGAGCCTTGCAAGCTCTTGTGGCAGGGAAGCCCCATTGTCCGCATCCCCAGGGGTGCCCAAAGACGTCAGGGAACCAGCAGGGACAAAGGGCCCTGGCACTGCTGGGTCTGGGTCCTGCTCCCACGGGGCACATGGCCCAGTCTCATGTGCGTCAGTCCCCACAGGCACCTGGCCAAAGCTCTGCCTCCCTGAGCCAAGGCATGCTGGCTGCTGCTCCTCTATCCATGGGGCTGCATCCAACCGCACCTCCCTGGCCCTGTGGAAAGGGCAGGTTTCCTCCTGGCCTTGAGATTTGCTTCCACCTGCGGCTGGATGCTGATGGTTTGAGTATTTCTGATGTTAATGCAATGGTCGTGCCCGCTCCCAGGGTTTGGGTCGGGACAGGGTGGTGGGTGGGATGGGAGCTGTTGTCACCATCCTCACAGTGAGCCAATAAGCCACGTTGGCCACAGCAGGGACAGCTTCCCTGGGTGTATGTGTAGGTGACCAGCAATACTACCAAAGATAGAGGGGACAGCAGTAGTGTACATACGTTGTACACATCCTTGCAGCACCTTCCTACACTAAAGATGGGTTTGAAGGAACCTGTGCAAGCACTGCATGAAAAAAATACCTTTTTTTTTTTTTTAACCACTCTTCTATTTTGCACTTGCACCAGGCTTAGCTCAGGGAGGTTGAGGTTGAAACCCCAAAAGCAAGTGTTGGAACCTATGGTGTGGTGGCAGCTCTCAGCTTGGCCAGCACTGTCCCACAGTGTCTGTCGTGGCTGCAAGCAGGACAGGCTTAGTATATCACCCTTCCCTTTCTGCAGCCCTATCAAGGCTTTCCCATGTCAGTCACAGTGAGCATGTTAAAACCCCCTGCACCCCCTCTTATCAATAACCAGGCTGGACGTGTGCCACACTAAGATCTGCGCTAATCATCGAGCAATTTCGCCTTCAGAACAGATATTTATAAACTGTGCTTTCTGTTTATCCAGCCAGGTGGAACATTTGATAGCTGTCTTCCACCACAAGCACATTTTTAGCTGGAAATTACTCCCCCTGGTTATCTGCGGGCACTGCCAGCCCTGACAAATGTCCCTGGGCAGGAGCTGATTGGCTCTGCACACCCAGGGCCAACTTTAAATTTCAGCAAAGTGGACACAGCCTCTACGGTCTGCTGCTGGGACCTGCCTCTGACAGCAAAAGGTAATCTTCTTACCTACTTTGCCTGGCCTGCCTCTCCCTAGCCCTTTGGCTCTGCTCTCTCTAAGCAGGGGCATCTTCTGCTTTCGCTCTGGGCAAGCCATGGTGGAGACAGGCCGAGCCGAGGCTGTGCACATCTCTGCGTAAAGCTCTCTTGAACCTATGTTGCTTTGTACTGCTGATCCTTGTGCACGAATTTCCTTCTGATGTCTTCTGTACCAACTCTTGCACAGTTGAATATAGTTTCTGGGCTAGACCTGTGAGCCCAAGCCAGGGTGGATGGGTGAAATGAGAATTATTAGCCAACGGAGCTGTTGTCTTCTGCCATTTATCAGTGCTGTTGAAAGCAGTGTGCAAGTGTCTTAATTCAGGCTTACGACTGTATGGCTTAGCCTCCAGTGGTTTTGGTGGTCATTTATTGCAAATATCCACCCAAAGTCTTTTGACAGAGCATGTTAAGAAGCTTTAACAGCTAGTGTCAGAGCATCCACCCAGTGCTGCTGGCCATGCACGTGTCCTCGCCTCACTGCTGTATGCCCATGGTAAGAGCATCGCCTTTGCTGCAAGGAGTGCAGAGAGGCAGGGTGATGCTGAGGGCCACTGCAAAGGCTGGGGAAAACCAGGATCACTGGATAACCCTGTGCTGTGGGAGTCTTTGGGTTGCTGCTGACCGGGACTGTTGGGAGCCACAAGTTCCAGAAAGACAAACTTCAGTGACGCTTTCCTTTATGCCCCCAGGAGCTGCCCAAGATGCAAACAGCCCTCGCGTGCCTGTGCCTGTGCCTTTGCCTGCTCAGCACAGCCTTCTCGATACCTGTGAGTATGGCTCTCCCCAGCTTCCCAACGTGCTGCTGAAAGCGTGGGGTGTACCACCCAGTGCGCCCCACCACGCTTTCAGTAGCAGGAAGGCCTGAGATGTGCTTGCATATAGCATCTCTGGGGCTTGGGGTGGGGGAGTTGAGGTGCTGACACAAAGTTGAACCCAGCAGGAAACATACAGAATTAGTACTGGGGTGCCTGAGCTGTTGGCCTGGGAACAGCCTGAGCGGAGCCATGGGAAGGGAGGCACAGGGCGGATGCTCACCTTACCCATGTGGGTAACAACGGTCACAGGGGTGCCTGCAATCATATTACAGCCCTCCTAATGTGAAATTCAGACAGATGTAACTGAAACAAAGGGCAAACTGAGATAAATAGCAGCCATTTTGCCCTCCATAACTGTTTCCCAATGTACTAAATACACAGGGTGAAAATCTGCTCCTGGTGAAGGCATGTTTTTTTTGGCAGGGTAACGAGGAGGGAAGCCATCTTCCCTGAGGGCTGGGCCCCATTTGTGTGTCCTTTAGCCCCCAGGGCAAGCTAGCATAAGCAGGTCTGTTGCAGGGCAGCACAGGAGGGGGAGGCAATAAATCAGCACAGATTTGCTTTACAGATAGGGGCACGAGAAAGAGCCAGGTAATACTCTGCTGTGTAACCAGGGCTGTAATCCAGCCTTTGACATTGTTCACAAACAATGGAATAACCCCAGAATATTTAATACTCTGGGGTGCATTTCTGCCCCTTTCAGCTGTGCTTGAGGCATTTCAGTGGCTGATTTTGCTGAGATTGGAGGTGGCTCAGGCCACATTCTCATGTAGAGAATGGCTTGGTGAGGCTCACAGAATGCTCCCACCTTCAGGTTCCCCATCCCTGAGGGATGCACTGGCCAATACATCCCAGAAGATGTATTTGCCAGGATATTTGCCAGAAATTGCCAGGATAATCAGGGGAAGCCAGAAGCTTGTACAGCAACCTGGCTGTGGTGACACAGCTGTTACTGCTGAGTTGCCCAGTAAACACTGGGAATCACCACCAGTTAAACCAGCTTCAGGGTCTCATTGCAGCCAGATCCCAGATGTAAGCTGCAGCATTGTGGTGTGAGCAGTGCTCTGCAATAAAAATACTCTGCAGCAGAATCCACTAAAAGGGTATTTGCAAACCAACAATATCCTGTTAAAAGTAGCTGTATCCTATTAAAAGCATGCTGTAGCAGGATCTGCAATACTTTTCAGACCCTCAGAATGTGGTTTTGACCTTTCCTACTACTGCTGGCTTTAAGCCAGTACCCCGGGTAGTGACTGGGGATTTATGGGCTTATCAGCAGTTTTCCCACCCTTCCCTGGACACTGTGGCATGCCCATCACACTGGGCAGGGAGAGTGGCTGGCAGTGGGTGCTGGAAACTGCCTGCACACCAGGGCAGCATTCATTTGACACCTCAGCTCCCATTTGTGTGTTGCTGCCCACAGGTACCACCGCCGCCGCCTGGGAGACCTACCGGGAACTGTGCGGGACAGCACCGGGTATGTCCCCCCTGTCCCATCGGGACCCTATGGAATGCCCTGAACCAGGGGCACAGGGAGAAAAAGCCACTTTTGGAGGGCAGCCCCAGTGAGCCACAGAAAGAGACCAGTGGTCCCGTTGCAGCTGAGCAGCCTTTACAAAGAGCAGGGGAGGGGATAGGTGTGATGTGCTCAGGCAAGGGAAGGGCTTCCCCCACCAGCTGCTCCTCTGCCCCTGCCCAGCCCTAAAGCACAAATGCTCGATGTACCCACAGATGAGGCTGAAGAAGTCCTAGGCCCACTAAAACCCTGCTATAGGGTGGTGTGGGAGAAAATGCCTGGTTTTGCCTATTGGAAGCCAGCTGCTGACTTTCCAGCACTTTAAGTCACCATCGGTCCTGTCACTTATGTCTGATGGGAACACCAACCAGGTTGTTCATTCAAACTATAAGCTACCTAGCAAAAATGAGCCCAAGGGAAAGCCAAACCCCAGAGATCAGGAGGCAAGCACATGAATCCTACCCAGGTCCCTACCCACAATGGCAGCTACAAGGTGGTGAGAGCTACTGCCCGTCTCGGGCTCCAGTGGATGCTGGTAGGACCCTGCTGCAGTGCCAGGTACAGCAAGGCAAGCTCCTGTCATCACATTTACTAAGAAAATTGTGGGTTTTACTTCTTTCTTCTCCACCAGATTCTGCTGAAAGGCTGCAATGCCAAGCATGGCTTCTACGTCTTCAAATACGTCTACTCGTTTTCAACGCGGAGGAACCAGACGCAGATGAAGGTGAGAAGGCAGCCGGGTGGCACGGCAGGACCTGAGCTGGGCTGCGGTGCCACACGCAGCTGGCAGGCACCAGGGCTGCCCCTGACCTCTCCCTTATTGTACTGCACAGAAGGAAGAGGCTGACAGCCAGAGTGCCGTCCCCGGCCATCAGCTGGGTGAGGATGATGCCAGGCAGGGGCTGACAGATGACAGGGCAGCCCCAGAGCACGGTGGCAATGGCAGCACAGTTGTGATGGAGGACGGGACCAGCCTCAGGCCCGACAACCGCAGCACTGCAGGCGTTGGCAGGGATGCTCACAGACCTCGCCCGGGCACCGGTGCACGAGCACGTGGTGGCGTTGGCATTGCAGGTCCCACCCCGGCCAGCTCAGAGGGCAGTGGTGACCTGGATTTAGTGCTTGAAGTTGATGGTGGTGTTTCCATTGTCCCTGAGGGTGGACACTCCGGTGAGGCTGTGGCAGGGAACAGGTCCAGTGTCGGGAGTGAGGACAGGGATGTTGGTGCCCCTGAGGGTGTTCCAGTGGAGGGAGCCATGACAGCTGGCAGGGAGAGGGTCCCCGCCCCAGGAGGGGGCGTGGGGG